GGGGTTGTCCTCAGATGGGAGGGGTGGGGTTCTCTCCAGTGTGTGTGTGTGTTGGGGGGGTTGTCCTCAGATGGGAGGGGTGGGGTTCTCTCCAGGAGGGACAGTGACTTGGGTAGAAAGGTGGGCCTGAGTCACCTGTGACAGGGCCCCCTCCCCTCCCCCCTGGGTATTTTTAGCTGCAGGTTCCCCTCCCGTCTGGGCCTGAGTGTGAGTCACACACGCCCCATGAGGAGCGCCTTCCCTTCTGGCTCCAGGCCGCCTGCACAGGGTCCTTGGCTGCCTCTGGGGCGAAGGGCAGGGCCTGGCCAGCGCCTGTGGAGGAGCGGGTCCCCGCGGGGCTGGTCGGCTTCCCGGGGAGGAAGATCTCTCTCCTGCAGGCAGGGACTGTGGCTCCCCTGGCTCGATTCTCTGTCCTGGGGCTGGAGCGTGGACGAGGCACAGGCGGAGGGAAAATGTGTAGACTTGGGCAGAGGCCCGGTCACACCCTCCCGCTCGGCCATTCCCACCCTCCGTCCCCCTGCCCACCCGCTTCCTCCTCCCTCAGCCTCGCCTGGCACCAGGCTGTCTGCGGCCCGTGTGCGGGCATGCTCACACACGTGCACACGGACACACACATGCTGCCGAGACTCCTGGGGACGCGGTGGTTGGGCCAACCTGGCCTCCGCTTAGCAGGTGCCTGGGCGGGAAGAGCGGTCTGTCCAGACCTCTGTGTGGAGTTGGGGGGGGGTCTTGGCCCCCCATCACCCCCTACTCAGATCCCACTGGCATTCTGGGTGGCCCGAGATGCTGTCTGGGCAGAAAGAACGTTTCTCCTCATCTTTCTGGGCAGATTCTCAAGGCCACGTTCTGGAACTCTATTAGCTCTGAGGAGGAAAGAAAAGCAGGCCTGAGAGGCTTTAAACTGGAAAATACGGAGAAGAGCGGAAAATAGTAATTACAGTAAAAGGAAGAGGGGTGGGCTTTGCTGTTATTCCACAAAGGGCTCTGAGCTGGGGGTGTAGTAATTGCAGTAAAAGGAAGAGGGATTTGGGCTTTGCAAAGGATCAGCAGGATGGCCCATTGGGGCTGCTCCCCAAGATCCACCCCCCAAGTAGGGGAATACTGCAGGGCAGGCCTTCTAGAAGCCCATGATCTCAATTGTGGTGGTTATCTTCTCCATTCTGCCGATGGGGAAACAGGCTCAGAGAGGCGGCCCCAGCTCAGGGCTGCACTGGGAACCCGGGGTGGGGTGGGGGGCACAGCCCAGGCTGTTCCATGATGCACTTGCCTCCCCGATTCCCCAGAGCAGAGGATGACCTCACAGTCGGCCTGCAGCTGTCAGCTCAGAGGAGCCCATGGGGGGTTCCCTAGCCTGGTGTGGGTGCCGCGTGGAGGCTGGTGGGGTGAACACCGTGGGAATCAGTGTCCAGAAAAGGGAGAGGCGCTATCCACAGTCATCCGGCTTGCCAGGGCGTGGATGAGCCCAGCCTGGTGTGGTTACCCCACCGCTTGGGGTGCAGTCTGGGGAGGGGGTGTGTGAAGTGGATGCTCTGCTCCCCCACCCCCCAGGGACCTAGCCCCCAAGGACCGGAATGGTGCATCTGACCCCTTCGTCCGAGTGCGCTACAACGGCCAGACACAGGAGACCTCGGTGAGGGGGCCGGGGGAGTGGGGGATGGGCAGGCCTTCGTCAGCTGGGAGGTCAGGCTGGGACTGCCGTCTCACAGAAGAGGTTTAGAAAAGCGGGGTGATCCCGGTACATAGCAGGTCCTGGCTCTTCTGGCACTGGCCCCTACAGCCCCAGCTGCCTTTCAGTCCCGGCCTCCTGGACCAAGACAGTGGCGTGGGGTTCATCTGCACCGTCCAACAGCTCCCCCCACTGCTTTGCTCCAGGAAACAGCCGGGATGGTGGGCTCAGCCACGAGCCTGGGTGCGGGGTGGAGTCCTGGTTTCCCAGTGCAGTCCGCTACCTTTTTGCTCTGTGGCCTTGGACAAGTACTTTACCCACTCTGGGCCTCCATTCCCCACCTTGAGAAATGAATAGGGGTTTGGACAGGAAGTTTATACCTCTGTTGTTGCAAGGCCCCTGCAGGGATCCCAAGTGGGGTGTTTGGGGTTGGCTGTGCCCTTGGCTGGGCCTTGCTTGGGGGGGCCCATGGGGGTCAGCCCCACCCCTCCTCCCATTCTGGGCAGATTGTGAAGAAATCATGCTACCCACGCTGGAACGAGACGTTTGAGTTTGAGCTGGAAGAGGGGGCCACGGAGCCGTTGTGTGTGGCAGCCTGGGACTGGGACCTTGTCAGCCGGAATGACTTCCTGGGCAAAGTGAGTGCCCCGCCCCTTCCGGCTACACCTGCCACCACCTCTGAGCCTGGCCTCCATTCCGGCAAGGCCTCCAGCCCCCCATCCCCCTCCGGCTGCCCCAAAGGGGCACTCCCCAGAATGAGCCACTGGTGCTCAGAGACCCCCAGAAGGGACTCCCCCCAAAAGGAACAGTAGTTGGCAAGGAAGAGAGCTGAGGGTCCCAGCCTCAGCGTGCCCCCCCCCCCACCCCGCGTCTGCCTTGTCCCCAGGTGATATTCAATGTCCAGAGACTGTGGGCGACCCAGCAGGAGGAGGGCTGGTTCCGGCTGCAGCCTGACCAGTCCAAGAGTCGGCGGGGAGAGTAAGTACCTGGGCTTGCCAGTGGGGCTGGTGGGGGCTGACATTTGGCTCCATCAGGCAGGCAGGCGCAGGGAGGGACAGACCCTTGCCCACTGGGCCAGACTGTTTTCCTGGCTGGTCCTGCCGCCTGGCACTTCTCACAGCCTTGGACTCAGCCCTGTCCTCCTAGCTCCGAGGCGGTAGAGGTCTCCTGCTTTCTACCTTCTGCTAGATTCTGGAACAGGCCATCAGACTTTTTCCTTTTGAGGGTTTCTCAGCAGACCTCAGACCCAGAGTTCAAGTCCCCAGAGCTCTGACTTCCCCCCGCAAATTTTCCAGGAATAAGGTGCCAGATAAAATATAGAATGTCCACCTAAAGCTGAATTTCAGGCAAACAATGAATCATTTTTCAGTGTATGTCCATGCAGTACTGGAGACAGACTTGTACTAAAGATACTCAAACTTAACTGGGCGTCTTGTATTTTTATTTTGGTAAATCTGGCAACCCTATCAAGGAAGCCCTCTGGCCTCCTTGCCCACAACTCAGCCTGGACGTGGAGAATCAGCAGTGTCCCCCACCTTAGATGGTTCAGCTCTGTCTCTCTGCAGAAAGCCCCAGACTCCCCATCCCCACCATCGACAGGGTAGGGCAGGGCAGACGACTGTGTCCAGCAGCGAGGCATTTCCAGAGAACCAGCCAAGGGCCCTTTGGAGGGCTTCTGCGGATGAGGCCGTGCTGAGTGAACTGCGCTGTGCTTCTGGAAGGGGTCCTTAGAGACAGTTAAGCCTTGGCCAGCGCCCCCACCAGGAGGGATCTGAGCAGGGGAGCTTGGCAGTTAAATCTGTTGTGGCAAGTTGCCTAACCTGCTCGAGCCTCAGTTGCCCCTGGCAGGTTGTTATGACACTTGGGGATTTGCTTCCAGTGTAAAGCGTATACACGAAGGAGCTGTTCTCTGAGAGTTTACAGATTCCAGGCTGGGGAGCCCAGCACATCCACATGGTTCAAGCCCAGAGTCCAAGGAGTCTAGAGGGGGCAGGAAGCCAGGCTGTGAGGGTGGTTGGAGGTGGGAAGGGCTTTCCCAGCGGGGAAAGAAAGCAGCTTGGGGAAAGAATTGGGGCGGGGGTGTGGGGGGGGAGGCAGCGCAGGGAGGCAAGGTGGACGGCACGAGCCGAGAGACGGAGAGGCTGGCCCCCAGGGGGGAACATGGAGGCAGTGGGGAGGGGGCCTGGCCCAGGTGGCCTGAGTCCCTGGTGGAGAGGTCACAGGCTGCCCGTTCCAGGGGCAGCCTGGGCTCCTTGCAGCTGGAGGTGCGGCTGCGGGACGAGACGGTACTGCCCTCCGGCTGCTACCAGCCCCTGGTGCGGCTGCTGTGCTGTGAGGTGAAGCTGGGCACCCAGGTGAGGGGGCCCCGGGGGAAGGTGGGAGGGTCCGGGGACCGCAGGCCTACACCTGCTCTGAAGAGCAAAGCGCTCCGTTCTCAGGATGGTAAGGAAGTAGCCAGTGCCCAGGGCCCCTTGCCATCCCTTGGGAAAGCACCCCCCCTTCCCCGTGGTCCTCTGAGGTCCTCAGAGTGAAGGGTTTGGGTTCCCCTGTGGGTCCTCCAACCCTGCCTGTCCTTGCTGCCTCCCGCAGGGCCCAGGGCAGCTGATACCACTTATTGAGGAGACAACAAGCACCGAGTGCCGCCAGGATGTGGCCACCAACCTGCTCAAGCTCTTCCTGGGGCAGGGACTGGCCAAAGACTTTCTGGACCTGCTCTTCCAGTTGGAGCTGGGTCGTACCAGTGAGGCCTGGGAGGGGGCGGCCTGTCTGAGGGTGTGGTGGAGAGGGGAACCAGGAGCCTAGGACTCCAGAGATAATGAGAGGGGAGAAATCTGGGAAGCCTTCCTGTAGGAAGCTTAGCTGGGTCTGAGGAGGCAAAGCAAAGAGCAAAAGGCATAGGTGTGGCAGTGTGCTGGGAGGTGGCAAGGTAGTTCCTTACAGGGGGGCCAGCTTAGAGCCCCCATCCCCGTGGTCCTCTGTCCTTCCCCAACCCCCTAACCACTAGAACCTCTGCTTGTAGGTGAGGCTAACACCCTGTTCCGGAGCAACTCTCTGGCCTCAAAGTCCATGGAGTCTTTTCTGAAGGTGAGGTTGAGTGGTATATGGTCTTTGTTTCCTAGATGAGGAGACGGAGGTTCAGAAGGGCCAAGAGATGGAGTGGGAGCGTAAGCTCCAGTCTCCGGTTGGGAGTCCAGGGCCCTTTAAGGCTAAGAATTTCATCCATCCACCCATGCATCCATTCACTCGTTCATTCGCGCAGCAGCAGTTTGTCACGCTGTCCCCTTTGCGTGCCTGGCTCTATCCAGAGTGGACACGGCAGGCAGATGGTGCTCGGGGTGGCTGGGAGGCCAGCTGCAGGGAGAAGGCCTGCAGCTGGAGGCGGGAGGCGGGAGGCGGGACCAATGCCGCCCCCCGCGGCCCCCAGGTGGCTGGGATGCGGTATCTGCACGGCGTCCTGGGCCCCATCATTGACAGGGTGTTTGAGGAGAAGAAGTACGTGGAGCTGGACCCCAGCAAAGTGGAGGTCAAGGATGTAGGGTGAGGCCAGGGGTGATGCCGGGGAGGAGCGGGGGGGCGCGGGTGCCAGGCCCTTTTTGCAAGTGTATGTTTTGGCCCTTTCTGCCTGGGTCTGCCTTTCGTCGCTCTGCCCATCTGTGCGTTGCCTCTGTCCCTGTCTCTGCCGACGCCTTATCGCGCCTTGCTCGGGGAGCCTCTGTGCGAGTCTGTGCAGAGGCGCTGACCTCCATCCTCTCTGCGGGATCCACTCAGGTGCTCCGGGCTGCACCGCCCACAGACCGAGGCCGAGGTGCTGGAGCAGAGCGCGCAGACGCTGCGCACCCACCTGGGGGCGCTGCTGAGCGCGCTCAGTCGCTCCGTTCGCGCATGCCCCGCCGTGGTCCGCGCCACCTTCCGGCAGCTTTTCCGGCGCGTGCGCGAGCGCTTCCCCAGCGCCCAGCACGAGGTGCGCCCCCTGCCGGTGGGGCCGGGCGGAGGGAAGAAAGCGGGCGGGGCGGTGGCGGTAGTGGTGGGGGGTAGGGGGTTAGAACCGCAGGCAGGGTCATGGGGAGCGGGAGAGGCGGGGACAGCACCAAAGGCCCGCGGGCGGTCCCGAGACTAGGCCTCAGACAGTCCAGCCCTGCTCTCCCGCGCCCCCCAGAACGTGCCGTTCATCGCCGTCACCAGCTTCCTGTGCCTGCGCTTCTTCTCTCCCGCCATCATGGCGCCCAAGCTCTTCCACCTGCGGGAGCGGCACGCGGACGCGCGCACCAGCCGCACCCTGCTCCTGCTGGCCAAGGTGCGGGCCCGGGGACGCGGGCGGGATGCCCAGCCGGGTGCCCACGGGGCCCTTGCCTGCATGGCAGTGTATGTCCGACTGGCTCCAGGAACGCCGGTGGCACTGCACTTCACAGCTGACAAAGCTTTCTCGTGGTCCTCCGAGCTCATGGACAAGGAAGCAGGTCCCTGCGGGGGAAAGAGCTTACCCAAGGCCGCACAGCCTGTGTGTGTGTGAATGCGGGCCTTTTAACCCCCAGATCTGCTTATTCCCAGGCGGCACCTAGCTGCCTGGCACCAGGCTGGGGCCGGCGTACCCGGGGGGGTGGGGTGGGGAGCACTCTCCTATTAAACTTGTCGAGGAAGGCCACTAGGTTGGCCTCAAGTAGCCTCAACTATCAGGTCCCGAAAGGCCTCAAACTCCGTGATCGGCTCAGCCCCGAACCCCAGTGCGGATGGAACGGGCCCATGAGCAGAGCTCATGCCGCTTCTGCCTCCGTTTCTTACCGCGGGAGTAGCCCCGATTTGGGGGCGGGGCGGGGGAGGTTGCAGTGGGGGGCCCTTGACCCAGCAGAGCCTGGCCCTTGCTGCTGTCACCCGCAGGCGGTCCAGAATGTGGGCAACATGGACACGCCCGCTTCCAGAGCCAAGGAGGCTTGGATGGAGCCGCTGCAGCCCACCGTGCGCCAGGGCGTGGCTCAGCTGAAGGACTTCATCACTAAACTGGTGGACATCGAGGAGAAGGAGGGTGAGCACTCCCGGTGCAGCTCCACGCTACCCGCTCCGTCCAGATTTGCTCCGCCCCTGCCCCGTGGCCCCACCCACACTGGCCTGTCTTACGGCCCTGCCCACAGCTTTCCAGGTCCCATTTATTCTCCCCTCTGTCTCTCTGGTCGCACCCACAGCCTCTTGATCCCGTTTGCCCTGTCCCACGGCCTTGCCCACCTGCTGCCTGTGCCCCTCGCGGCTCTGCCGCAGTCCCTACTTCATCCCTGGGCTCACATTTTACCCTCCCTCCCTGGCCCGGCAGAGCTGGACCTACAGCGGGCACTGAGCCTGCAGGCACCGCCAGTGAAGGAGGGGCCGCTCTTCATCCACAGGACCAAGGGCAAGGGCCACCTCATGTCCTCCTTCAAGAAACTCCACTTTTCCCTCACCACCGAGGCGCTCAGCTTTGCCAAGACACCCAGCTCTAAGGTGGGCAAGTGGGGATCCGAGGGGTTTATAACACTCTGGAGGCACCTGTGCCTCCCTCGGAGCCCATCCCAGGGCCCACCGGGATCAGAGAAGAAAGCCAGGTGGGACCAGGGTTCTGGTGGCAGCCACAGGCTCTCTTAAGACCCGTAGGGAAGAAGCTTTTCTGCCCAGAGGGCAGGGGGCAAGGGGCAGGCAGTGGCTGCCATGTCAGCCCTGACTTCTTGGCGCATGAGTGGGGTGGGGGGCTGAGGGGTGCTTCTGGGAGATGGAGGAATGAGAGGGGGGCCGGGAGGAGTCCTGGTTTCCAGCCCTGTGCACCTAGGAAATGTCTCATTTTCTCTGAGCTTTAGTTGGTGTCTTGGCTTACAAACTGGGGATGACGGTCCCTACTTCCCAAGTTATTGAGGGCAGAGGAAAGGATCACTCTGAGGGTGCAGAGCCCGGGCCCGGCGCAGGGCAGGATCTCAGCCAGTGGTTTTACCCAAGGCCCCAGGCTGGTCTCCCGTCCATGCTCTTCTCCCAGGAAGGGCGGAGCACTTGGGTTCTCGATGGATCTGCTGACCCCTAGCTGGGCTGACCCGACCTCCCGCCAGCCAGGCTCTGGGGACGGTCTTCCAGGGATTCCCAACCCGGCCCTGAGCACCTGATGGGAGAACCGCGGGGGTGAGGGAGCTCCCCGGGTGAGAAGCCTCAGCCTGGGCCTCTCGCTTTCCAGTTTCTTCCACTCCTAGCAGCTGCCCAGCCGCTGAGTCCCCTCAGCGTTTTCTGCAGCCTCAGCCAAGCCTGGTAGGGCTTTCCCTTATGCCAGTCTGGGCCCCTCTCCATTCTTTGGCTTTGAGCTCTGCCCTTTTGTGGGCACATCCGTGCATCCCCCTGTGCAGCACCCCTCTTCTGCCTCCTTCCTGTCTCCTCTTCAGCAGAAGAGGGCAGCACGTCTTCTGTCCTTTGGGAGGCCCCACCCCCAGATGTGTGTTCTCGGGGCTCCCCTCCAGGTGTTCTCAGTCTTCCCAAGAGGCGGCTCTGCCCTTCTCTGCTCGTCACTGGGGCCAGCAGGGGTGGTGGGCTTGCATGCCAGGCTGGGGGGGAGTGGGTGCTCTCCTGAGGGCCATGGGGACTCTTACTTGGGTGATAAGGGCCCTGATGAGTTCTGATGGGAGACCTCGGGTTGGGGGCCCCTCAGCGACACAGACCCGTCAGACGCACAGCTTCTCCCTGTCCCATTCATGTCTTAACGGATTCGACGATGGCAGGAGTGGGGAGGGGCCAGGGGGCAGGGAAGGTAAAGGCACGGGGGGCGGGTGGGGGGGATTATCCATAAGGGGAAAGGCACAGGGCCTGGTCCAGGCAGGTGCTACTTTCCAGGCCTGGGGAATGCTGGGAGTCCAGACATTTCCAAAGCTCAGACCTCCCATGACCGCTGCGAACCCTCGAGAGGCCAGGCACTTAGACACCATTTGTCTGCGCTCTGTCTGGCTGGGCTCACTCACAGAGCTGGGTCCCCTAAGCCAACCCCTGGGGCTGCAGAAGGGGAGACTGAGGCCCAGAACTAGGACACGGAGTGGTCCCGACTCGGACCCTGAGTCTCCTCTGCCTCGGCCCACTACAGAAAAGCGCCCTCGTCAAGCTAGCCAACATCCGGGCGGCAGAGAAGGTGGAGGAGAAGAGCTTTGGCAGCTCGCACGTCATGCAGGTCATCTACGAGGACGACGCGGGCACGCCCCAGACCGTGTACCTGCAGTGCAAGGTGGGGGCCGCGTGGGGGCGCTCGAGGGGAGGGGCCGCTGGGGAGGTGGGGGGGGCTAGAAGGAGGCCCCAGTGAGCCTTCTACCCCCTTGTCAGCTGCGTCAGGCCCAGCAGGGTGTGAGAGCTGATGTGAGTGCAGTGCGTGTGTGTGTGCGTGTGTGTGCGTGCGGGTGTGTGTCCTGGGCTCTGGGGCCTGTGCCCATGGCTTTCCCTGGGACTGTCTAGGCACCCGAGTGTAGGTCTGTGCGTGGGCCAGGGTAAGGACGCGTATGGTCCTGTGATTTGGAGCCTCACACGTTGTATACGCTTGCGGAAAACTGGATTTCTGAGTGTCTGTGCTGGTGCCTGTGTGTTTGCGGAGCACATCAACACGGAATCCTCACGTACTTATGCCGGCGGGTGGCTCTGAGTATGTGCTCTCACATTCTCGTCTCTTTATGTACTAACTCATCCATTCATCTAAGAGGCATTTGTGGAGCGCCTACAAGGCTCCAGGCGTGGTTCTCTCTGGTGGGGGTACAGCGGCAGGGGAAAGAGCCCTGCCCTCGGGGAACTTGTCTCCCAGGGAGGCACACGGACCACTAAATCAGTATTTAAAATGTCAAGTGGTGGCAGTGCCTTGAAGGGCACGAAGGAGGCTGAGGGAGAGAGGGAGGGGGCAGAGCAGCGTTGAGCAGGGGGACGTTGCTCTCTAAAGGGTGGGCAGGAGGGCCTCTGACGGGTGGCCTCTGAGAAGGGGCATCGTGAAGGAGAGAACGTCTGGGGGCAGGACACGGGGAGCAAGAAGGAAGGCTGAGGTCAGAGGGCGTTTGGCTTGTCCCTGGGAGGGACTGTCAGGAGCTACAGGGGAAAACGGTGACCACCCCGTGCAGTTGGCAGGTCGTACACTGCCCAAGGCATGGCTGAGGGGGCGAGTGGCGGCCGACGTCCAGCCGGCGCTCTGCTCATCAGGCCATGTGCCTGGGAGCTCCAGGAAGGGGGGCGGGCTTCCTGGAGGGGGTGAACTCTGACGGCCCCCGCGCCCCCTGCAGTGTGTGAACGAGCTGAACCAGTGGCTGTCTGCGCTGCGGAAGGTGAGCATCAACAACCCCGGCCTGCTGGGTTCCTACCACCCTGGCGTCTTCCGCGGGGACAAGTGGAGCTGTTGCCACCAGAAGGACAAGTCAGGTGGGAGCGGAGGCCTGGGTCCCTCTACACGGCATCTGTCCACCCTGGCTGGCCTGGCTGGGGGCCACCTGTGCACCCGTGGGAAGGAATTGGCGGCGGGCCGGTCCCTGCAGGTGCTCTGGGCGGGAAGGGTTCTGTGACAGGGGAGTTTGGGAAGTGCCACGTGGTGTGGGTGCCGCACGTGGGGACAGGGGCCCTTTCTTGCCCAGGGAGGGAGGTTCCTGCGAACCAGGGCTCGGAGGAACACACTGTAGGAACTCCTTGCTGCTGAGCTGCACGTTCCCACCTGGCAGCCTGATACTGGAGCTGCAGGTGGGGGACCCTGGGCTGGGCACCAGAGGGATGGCCGAGACAAGCTGCTGCTAGAACTTTCTGTGATGGTGGTAGTGGTGTCCAGTACTGCGCGTGTGCTCGTTACGAACACGTGGCTTGAGCCGTGGCCAGTGTGGCCCAGGAATGGAGTTTGAAGTTTGTTTTAATTTTATGTAATTTTAATGACTTTAAATTTAAGCGGCCTTCTGTGACTAGCTGGTTTCTCTATCGGACAGCTCAGTTCTGGGACTGTTAAGATCTTCTCTAACCTCCATCTGCTTTACAAAAATATATATATATTTTTAAGATTTTATTTATTTGACGGAGAGAGACACAGCGAGAGAGGGAACACAAGCAGGGGGAGTGGGAGAGGGAGAAGCAGGCTTCCTGCCGAGAAGGGAGCCCGATGCGGGGCTCGATCCCAGGATCCCGGGTTCATGACCTGAGCCGAAGGCAGACTCTTAATGACTGAGCCACCCAGGCTCACTGCTTTACAAAATTCTTGCTCCACAGTCTCAGAAGAGACTCAGCCCCTGGAGCGCCCAGCCTCAGCCCCTAGAGCCTGGCACGGGAGGCCCTGGGAAGCCGCCCCACCTGCTCCAGCCCAGCCCTGGGTCTGGGAGGGGACAGTGGCAGCTCTGATTGGCCTGACCTGCAGCTGCTGGCTTTGACCTTCATGGTGATAGACCTTGTTATTGGTGAGGGGGACTCCTTAGGGTGCTAGGAGGCAGGTCTGGTAGCCCATTCTGTGGAGGAGAAAACCGAGGCTTAATGGGGGCCGATGTCTCTGCCAAGGTCGTAAGGCCAGCAAGTGGCAGGGCCGGCTCATCCCAAGGCACGAAGCCCTCAGCTTCCAGCCCCATGATCTTACGGTCCCAGGCCGCTCCCTTCTTCCTTCCAGGCAGGCAGCCATCCAGAAAGCTGTCCAGCCCCCTTGAGTTGTCTCCTGTGCGGCTCCCATGCTCGGCGGTCGTGTATCTCTGGGCTCAGGAGCTGCATCCGGCAGAGATGAGCTGCTGCCCTCCTGGGGCCCCTGAGCCCATTCCTGTCCCTCTCCAGGCTTCAGTGTCCCCACCTGCACTGCCACGAAGTTGGACGTGAGCTCTCATGGGCCCTGCCCGCAACCCTGCCCTCTCTGTGCCCCCAGATCTGGGCTGCGACAAGACCCGGTCACGGGTGACCCTACAGGAGTGGAATGACCCTCTGGATCATGACCTGGAGGCCCAGCTCATCTACCGGCACCTGCTGGGCGTGGAGGCCGCACTGAGGTGAGGAGGCCTGTGTGGCCCTGGGGAGTGGCGGGCGAGGGCCGGAGCTGGGGCCACGTGGCTGGTCTCCTGCTGCAGATCAGGCCTGGCCCCTTCCTGCCGGTGGCAGCCACACCTGGGGAGGGGCACGCGGGTCTCTGCGGCAGGAGGCTGGCTCAGTGAGGAGGAAGGCCCAAGGGCTGCAGAAGGCCTGGGTCATTGCCGCAAGTCATTGCCACGGCTGTATCCTGCCCCGGACTGACGCAGCCTCCCAACCTGTCCGGCCTCCCCATTGTGCCCTCGGAGCGCAGGGATTGTCCTCAGCCAGCTCTCTTGAGTTCCTCAGCCATCTCCTTAATGCCCTGGTTCTCAGCCCTTGGCTCCTGCTCAGAAAAAACCAGAATGCCTGCGCCCTACCACACTGACTCAGAATCTCTGGAGGTGGAGTCCAGAGTGGGGAGATCTCCAAGCAACCCGCTGCTTACTGAGCCCTGAGCGGCTTCCCTGAGCCTGCTGGGATGGGGCGGTTTTCTGCCCCACACTCCAGTCCCCGGGGCCCTGGAGGGGTGGTGGCTCTTGTCCTTGTTCCTCATCAACTTTTCCAGGGTGTAATCTCTTCCTCAGAACCCTTCGAAGCTCATGGGGTCGGACGAGAACCGCTCACTCCCCTGTGAGCCAGAGTCTCCAGCAGCTCCCAGGTCACTCTGCAGCCACACGTCCTTTCTGATGGTGTGGTCCTGTCGCCAGCTCCCTCTCTACCCCTAGTCTGGCCCCCTGGCTCGGTGACTTCGCCACCTACTGGATGAAGCCACCACCCTGTCTGCTCTGTTCCCGGGACCCACAGCTGTCCCCCATTTAAGTCAGGAAGTGGCAGAGCCAAGATTGGAACCCAAGCCACCTTGGGTTCAGGTGGGTCCCGCCACGGGACCAGTGCCCAGGGGCCTGACTATAGCCTCCCCAGCTCCGGAACCACCCGGCCACCCCTCCTCTCATTCTGCCTCACCTCCTTGCCATGGAGCACCACCAGACCTTCTGCCCCACCGGCACCTCTGACCCCCTGACACGGTGGCCCGTCCTTAGTCCCTGCTGTGCCCACTTCCTGTGGCTGCCGTAACCAGTTACTGGACGCTTGGTGGCTGGGAACGATGTCTTCTCTTGCGGTCAGTGTCAAATTAGCAAATGAGCAGGGCAGGTAGGGGACCGGACTGACCCCATGGGGCCTAGAAGGCATCTCAGGAGGAGCAGCTCGTTAGATCTTACAGGGACACAGCTCTTCGGAAACACGTCAGGGAGACCGGCAAAAAGACCAAGCCAGAGGAATTCCGAAGCAAGGAATTTCAAGCCTGGGGTCCACGTGGCTGCTCGCTCTCCCTCCGTGTGGGCTGCCAGGGTCGTAACTGAGGGCCCAGGGACCTCTGGTGAACCCCGGTTAGGAATTGTGCTTAAACTGCAACTGGCTCATCCTCCCATAAGGAGGAAACTTGTCCCACCACCAGTTAATCCTGGGACTTCAGGCCCCAGTTGGCCCTTTTCTGCAGGGTCCTCTGAAACGGGAGTGACATTGTTCGAACTTGGGTTTCCGAAGTGCCTTGCGCTGGCGCACCGTGGTGGAGGTGACCAGAGGAGGTTGGAAAAGGGAAGGTGGCAGGTGACCAGGGGACCATCACCTGGACCCCTGTTACTTCCCCACAGATTGAAGGGGTCGGCCCCCCACTCCCAGGATCCCCTCTGGCTCAGGAGGCCTACGCGGGGTCACCTAGCCTTCCTGGCAAGGGCACCACGAGCTCTCACTCTGTCCTCCCCGACAGGGAGAAGCACCGGGAGCTGAGTGCGGCCACAGGGGCAGGCTCTGTGCGCACGGGCCCGGGGGAAGGTAGGTCCCTCCCAGCTGGACCCCCGCAGTGGCCTGAGCTCCGTTCCGGGGGGCTGTGGGCGGGGCCCCACTCGGGTGGGGGGTACCCTCTGGCCTTGGCTGCTCCGCCCTCATCCTGCATCTGCCTCCAGCCTCCGAGGACCCACTGGCCCAGCTGCTGCAGGTGCTGCAGGACCTCCAGGAGGCCCACAGCTCCAGCCCCGCCGGCTCACGGCCTTCGGGGCCCAACCGCCCGCTGGCGCTGCAGACGTGAGGTCCACCCTCTGCGCCCTCGCCGAGCCCCCTGGCCAGGTGCTTGGAGAACCCCCCCCCCCGCCCCGGTGCGCTTTCGGCTCTTCATTCCCGCTCACTGGGGAGCAGGGCTTAGGGTTCTCGTGGGCTGGGTGAATTGGGGGGTCGGGGGGGGTCCAGAAGGCCCATCGTTGCCCGCCTGAAGTCTCTAGGGCGCCTGGCACACTCGCGCTCTTCTCTGGAGCCTGGCTGCTCCCCACGAGCCCTGCAGCCAGCCCTGGTACTAGCCCACGCTCTCCAGGGGCCCTCTCTCCTGCCCAGGGCGGACCTAGCCAGAAACCACCCCTAGGGTGGCCCGAGCCCGGGGGGACTGATGCTCCTTGGACCCAGAGAGGTGGGAGGAAACACGGAGCCCAGGAGACCAGGCTTGGACCTCAGCATCCCCCAGCTCCTGGCCACCACACCGCCTGCTCCCCCCCCCCGCCCCCCCCGGCCGCTGGCTGGGCCCGCCGGGCGAGCTTCGCCGGTGCTCTGTCGCTGACAATAAACCTGCCGTGACTGCCTGGGCTCTGGGCTCTTGTGATGGGGGTTGGTGGAAGGACTAGGCCTGGGGACTCCAGTGGCTCCTTGGGGGTGGCCAACGACGGGGCCACCAGCATAGCCTTTGTGCATCCCCTCTGCCCCCCCCCCCACATCCCAGGGGGACTCGTTTCTCTCCCCATCTGCTGTCCTCACCATACCCCTGGGTCCCACTGCTCCATCCCCCACAGGCTAGAGCCTGAACGTGCCTCACCTTCCCTTCCTGGCCCAGGGGTGGCTGAGTCTGCGCCGCCCCTCCCCCATCACCAACACCCTGTTCTCTGGCTACTTTCTCAGGGCCTCGCACAAGTCGTCACCCCTGTTCAATCTCTTTCGGTTTCCGGGATCTTGTGGTCAGGAAGTACGGACCCCAGGGTCTACTGCGCCCTAATGCAGAGAGTGAAGGGGAAGGAGAGGTGTGCGTTTATGGGGCTGCCGCAAGTAGGAGCCTGGATATGAGCTGCATACACACAGCCACTCAGTGTGGCGACACCTACCACCCTCTCCTCCAGAAGGGTCCTGGGGTGGGGTGGCCGCTGCAGCCTGAAGAGGGGTTACAAGTGCGTACCTGGCACTGTCCCTACCGCTCATGTACCCCCAAACCCCTGGGTTCTACCAGGCAGGGAGTGAGGCCCCTTTTGGGTAAAAACTACACCTCCCTCCCCCAGCCAGCCCAGTTAAGTAGCATCCTTGGCCCAAACTTGGCCAGAATGGCCCAGAAGGGTGGAGATTCCCCAGGGCACCGTCCCCTCATTGCCTTCTACCCCTCCCCAGTTAAAGAGCAGCCCCCTCCCACCATGTGGCCTGGAGAGTCAAGGCCAGTGTAGGTCTGGGGGCGGGGGGTGGGGGGGGAATGACATTTCCTCGCCCTAGGGCCCAAGGCTTAAGTAGGGGATGGCTCTTCCCAGGAAGTGGTGTGGAAGCTCCTGGTTTCTCCTTAGCAGCTGTGGCTCCAGTAGCTCATGGGAGACCCAGCCCCTTGCTTCAGACAGCGCAGGTGGGGCCTTTAGAACAAACTGCAGTCTGCAAAATACCGGCCAATCCTAACGGACTCCTACTACACTTGGCCGTCGGAGCTCCTCTCTCCCCGCTGGGTACACCTGCCTGGCCCCCACCCTCCCCCGCTGCCTGCCTAACAAGCCGCTCATCAGGCCACGTGCCCAGTGGGCAAGCAGGCGACAACACAGCCGGGTCTCTCACGGCAGGCAGCCTCGGCAGGGGGTTATCCGCACCGCGGCCGGCTGAGGCCCAGACACCCATGAGGCTTCTCTCGCCCCCCGCCGGCCCCACTGCGCCTTGGCTCCATTCTCCACTCGAGGGCCTCACGCTGGGTGTTCCAAGGGGACATTTCCAAACAAGGAACACGGGGAGCGGGGAGAGGCCGTAGTACCACACACAGAACTGCCCCCCACCCCTGCGAGCGGGGGTCGGAGCGCGTCTACAGGGCCACAACTCCGGGCTCACGCATGCGCAGAACCACCCTCCTCCCTCGGTGCCCCCCCCGCCTCCCTCGGTGCTCCGCCGCCCCCGGGCTTTTCCCGCGTCTGCGCTACGTCCCCCGGGCCGCTAGGGGGCAAGCGGCCGGTCTTCACACGGGAAAAAGCCGTAACCCGGAAGCAGCCGCTAACCCGGAGGAGGTGGTGCTTGTAGGGCTCCGCTGGTGGGGGTGGCGGCCGCTGCGACTTTGGAGGCTAGTGCGGCGCTAGGATGAACGCCCCTCCCGCCTTCGAGTCGTTCTTGCTCTTCGAGGGCGAGAAAAAGTAAGTGGAGCTGGCGGGGGCGGGCCGGGGGTGGCGGGCGGACCTTGGGGCTTCTCGGCCTCGTCCACTGCGGGGAGACGGAAGCAGCTTTTACTGTGTCTGCCAAACTCGAGCCAGCCCTGCCAGGCGGTGGTGAGTGGCCCCGTTCTGCAGAGGAGGAAACTGAGGCTCAGAGAGGCTAAGGAACTGCCCCGGCACACGGCAAGTGGCGGTCTGTGTGGGAGCTAGAGTGCCTGGCGCCACAGTGCTTTCCCTCTGGGATCCGGCAGCCTCCTGGCCGCCGCCTTCATCCGCCTGCTGCAGCCAGAGGGCTGGCTCTCAGGCTCAAGACCGATCCTCACTGGCCTGTGAAGACCCTTCAGGGGCTTCTTGCCTGCAGAGTGCAAGGGAATGTAGTCCCCTCCCTGGTCTCTCAGCCTGGGCCTGGCTCTCTTACTTATAAACGTCTCCATGTCGTTGGGCAAGTGACTTAATCTGCCTGAGGCCTGCTTTCCTCCTCTGGGAAATGGGCTTCTTGCTGTATTAAATCACAGGATTTTCTCTAAGGGGAGCTTAATGAGGTAATTTACCGGAAGTGCTGAGGCCAGGGCTCAGCACGCAGCCGACCGTCTTAAACGTTGGCTTTTCCTTCTCTTAACAGCCTGGTGTGCAGGGCTTTACGGTGGGGCCCTTGCCAGCCACTTCCTCTCCCTTGGGAGCAGTGGTTGGCAGCTGGGGCCATTTTGCTCCCCAGGGCACTTGTGGGCAATGTCTGCCAACACTTCTGATTGTCATAAAGGGGGTGCTGCTGGCAGGGATACTGCTTACATCCTACGATGTGCAAGACAGCCCCCTACAGAAAAGAATTATCCACCCTAAAATGTCACTGGTGCCAAGGAGCAATCCGGAGTAGGTGAGGGTCCCGCAGAATCAGGGCATAGCCACTCTGCTTCTCTGAGTCAGAGAGGTTTTTATGGATGAAGAGATGGAGGAAGTCTTCCAGGAGGAGGTGGGACCTGGGCCTGCGTTGAAGGGCAGGATTTAGACTTGGGGAAGGCGGGGAGGCCCCATTTGCCCATCTGTTGCTTCCGCCTCTTTCTAGGATTACCATTAACAAGGACACCAAGGTACCCAATGCCTGTTTGTTCACCATCAACAAAGAAGACCACACGCTAGGAAACATCATTAAATCGTAAGTTCCACGTCAAAGGCTCTTGGGAAATGTTTAATGGGGCTCTTTGAGGCAAAGCACACATTCCGGAAGATTTCCTGAAGTCTCTCCGAGCTTCAGGAAGGTCTGGGTGCTTCCCCTGGCAATTCCCACGTTCCAGTACACTTTCTCCAAAATGACGCTGACCTGTATCTGTTCACACCACCGAATCTCTGTCCCGGCTCATTTATCTGACAGTAGGAAGCGAACGTGTGGCAAGCCAGAGAAACGTGGGCCTGCTCGTGTGTCTGTGCTGCGGAGCGGGGAGCCCCAGTCAGGGCTAGCTGTCACCCACCCCCCCCCTTTGGGACGATGACCTCTGGGACACCTGGCACGCAAAGACAGATGTGCCAGAGATCGGATCTTATTAGGAGGGGAGAATGTGGGGGAGAGGCTCTGTGGTTATCCGGTGCCCCTAGTGGACGGTGGATGTGTGTTTACACCAGTTTAGTCCTGACCGGGCAGGTGGTCAGCAACGTGGTTGCTGTTCTGGCCCAAGCATTTTGTCATTTCTCTGCTCAAAACCCCATCGGTGGAGCCAGGTCTTTCCGAGGTTTGCACGTTTGAGGCCCCAGGCAGGAGCCTTCCTGGTCTCTGGGCTGAAAGTGGGAAGTGGAGCTGGCCGTCCTCTGGCTGACTCCCCGCCCCCAAGCCACCCCGGTGGTGCCCCCAGGCCCTTCTGGGGCCTTGCCACTCCCCTGCTCTGGGAGCCACATCCCCACCTGTGCAAGGGCCTTCCTTTGTGGTGCCTGCTGCTGACAACACGCGGGCCACGGCTCGCAGACGCGGGCTCTTCAGCCTGGCAGATGCCGCCCCTCCCCCCATGGGCCCAGGGCACGGCTCGCAGACGGGGCCCCAGGTGTGTGGGCAGGAGCTGCCAGCCTGTGTGGCCCAGAGGGCTTCCGTGTCACTGACCGCCCAGGGCCTGGGCCTTCTCCCCGTGCCCCCTTGTACTGCCGCGTCAGGTGCCCGTGCTGGGCTGTGCGCTGCGTGCTGAACCTGGGCGGCCTGGGGAGGGCTCTTTGGGGCTGTTGCAGGGTCCCAGCCTTCCCCTGAAGGAAGAGTTTGCTGGAGATCCTGCTTACCAGCTGGGGGTCCTCGATCCTCACAGATACTGGGGGGGTGTGTGGGTGGGAGGCGTCCCCATGAGATCTTTTTTGCAATGTTTTACTTGGAAGACTTTTTTTTGGGAAATCAGGAGCAGGGAACCACCTGGGGTCAGCCCCCAGCTGTATTGGCTTCTAGGCCTCAACCCAGTGGGAAGACTCTCTGCTTAGAGGCCTGGTCATCCCCAAGGGTGCTGGGCTCAGCCCCTCGTGTCACACCGACCATTTCTGTACCTCAGACAGCTGCTGAAGGACCCGCAGGTGCTGTTTGCTGGCTACAAAGTCCCCCACCCCTTGGAGCACAAGATCATCATCCGAGTGCAGACCACCCCGGACTACAGCCCGCAGGAGGCCTTCACCAATGCCATCACGGACCTCATCAGTGAGCTCTCCCTGCTGGAGGAGCGCTTCCGGGTGAGGGGCCCGGCGTGCGGGGGAGCAGGGGTGCGTCTGCCTGGAGCTGCAGTGTTCCCCTGCCCACACCCCAGACAACCCCCGGGGTGGTTTTCCTGAGGTATTGGGGGGCGGGGCGAGGTGGTGACCAAGCAGTGATGCTCCCGCAGCCTTGAGCGAGCGTGGACAGAGGGGCTATGGAGTCGAGGCTGGGGGCATGCTGTCTGCAGGCAGGGGTGGGAACCGTACTGTGGGCTCGGGGGGCTCCTGTGGAAGCAGGGTCGTATTGCCCCTTGGGACTGCTCCCCCAAGCCGCCTCTGGTAAGGCCTGGCTGCTTCAGGGTATTTGCGGAGGGGCAGCATCATCCCTGGGTTAAGGAGGACGAAAGGGGATGGTCACACCTGTCCACGCAGAGGGCCTCAGCGTCTGACCTGGGTGTACAGTGAGAAGGATCCATGGCTTGTCAGAGTTCGACTTGCACCTCAGGCAGATGGGGTGGGGGGGCTCAGGGACATCGGGCTTGCCTTCCCAGCCTCCTCACCCTGGCCCTTCCGGCTGACTGGCTGCCACCCCTCTGCTCAGGTGGCCATTAAAGATAAGCAAGAAGGCATCGAATAGGAGGCTGGAAGGGTCTTGCTTGGCTAGTTCCTACCCTGCACTGGAACCTTCTAGGAGAGCAGCTTCCCCAGCTTCGGGGACATCCTGGTGAGCCCCTTCCCGCCGGAGCTGCTGTGTCCTGGACAGAGCCTGTTTCACCTTCCTGATAAAGTGCGGCAGGAAAAAGCCTGGCTGTGGGCTAAAGCCGAGGTGACTTCACGGGGCATGGGGCTGTGCGGAGGCGGAGGACCGGTTTCCCAGTTATCTGGGGCCCGTCCACGCTGCAGTGTGGCCCCAGAGGACCACAGTCACTTGTAGGAGCCCCTGCTCCCAGCCTGGCCGGTCTCCGAGTAGCAGTGCCAGACAGGGCCACAGACCACGCTCCAGTCTTCTTATACAGCAGAGAGTTTAATAAAAATACTCCCCGATAAAAACATCCTGGTCATTCGCCCCAAAGCTGAATAAGTTAAGTCGGGTCCCCGCCCCCCGAACTCCCCCCCCGCCCCGGCTACTGTCTCTTCCAGATGGCCACGATGTTGGAGTCTGTCAGAGCGGTGAGGTACGTAAAGGTGGGGTTGGCCACCACCGTGTTCACCATGGTCTTGGTCACCATCTGGCCGAGGGCCCAGGGCTGGGGCCACTTAAGGATCTGGGAGGAGGGGGAGAGGAGGGCGGGGCTCCAGCTTCCTGCTCAGCAGTCCCCGCGGCGGGCGAGGGGCGTGCAAGGGGCGCCTACCTGTGTCGGGGCCTGCGGCGCTGCCGGAAGCGGAGGCTGCTGCGTCAGGAGGTGCCGGACGTCGTAGACCCACACGTTGCCCTCCTCGTCCCCACACAGCACGATGCCCTCACCTGCGGGGATGCACGGCCTGAGACCCAGGGTGGGGCGGAGCCCTGAGGGGTGGAGGGGGGGTGGGGTGGGGGGCCAGGGGCTCACCGGGACAGGTGCTCAGCGAGAAGTAGGCCAGCCGGGTGGGGGACCACTGCAGCCGGGCCAGCACCACCACCGCCAGCGTGGGCCGCTTGCCCCGGGCCCCCCACGTCTGGCTCCAGCTCCACAGGCAGATGGTGCCCAGGCCGTTCCCTTTGGAGGCTGGGGGCGGGGGGAAGAGACAGAACTGGGTGGGGGCCCCTCTCTAGACACTGCCCAGTGTGCGGTGGGGAGCCCCAGGAGAAGCCGCCCTCTAAGGCCTTCCCAGGAGGCCAGGCTGGCCCCCCGAGTGGGGGCTACTCACCCACGACGTCCTCGTTCACAAAGGCCAGCCCGTCCACTCTCCGCGTGGCTGCCTCCGAGCCCTCGGAGAACACGAACTCCACCTCGCAAGGCCTGCGGGGCGGCAGGGGAAGCTGGCCGGCTGCCCCCCGGGGACCCCGAGCCGCTCGTGGATGTGTGCCCCAGGGTCCGGAGCAGCAGGCCTTCAGGGGCTGGTGGGCACGGGGCTGCGGCGCGTTCCCGGTCCCGGGAGGGGGTGGGGTCACACACAGCGGAGGCGGGAACGGGTGGGGGGAGGCCCAGGGCTTCACCCCCCGGTGTGGTGTGGGCCGCCCAGACGCCAGCGCCTGGCGCTTTGGTTATTTGCTCCCACATGGCAGCTGCCTCATTGCTGTCACCGCCCAACCCCCTCCCCCGGGAAAGTTCTTCCCAGGCCATTCACGGCACTGAGGACAAAATTCAGTCTTACTCCGGCAGACAGAGCCGGCGTGGCCCCACCAGCTCGTCTGCCACGTCCTCCCGCTTCCCAGGCTGGGCCGTGCCCCCGGGGCCAGCACCTTCCCTCCCAGGGCCTGACTCCCTGGCTCGGCCCGTGTGGTGAACAGGAGCCCGAGGACCCATCTGCCACCTGTCACGTCACCTCCTCACGGTTCCCTCATTTGCTTTCTGTCACACCTGACACAATGCTCCGTGGGCTTTAACAAGGCTGCGGGCCGCATGAGGGCAGGGATGCCGGCCTTCCGGGTGGGTACACGTGAGCCTTCCCGGGCTCTCATCCCTGCCCGGGCACCGTCCCCTTCCCCCCCTTCCCCCCCTTCCCCTTCCCCTTCCCCCGCCAGGTGAGGTGGCCGCAGCTCTGAGAGCCGGCCCGGCCCAGTCCCACAGGCACGGACCTTTCCCTGGGAGACTAGCGGAGGTGGGGCCGGGCTGGCCCCGTGAAGACAGCTGCTGGCGGCCCACAACGGGCCGGGGCTTGGGCACCACCGCGGGGGGTCAGGCACCTGGCCCGGCCGGCCTCACCTCCTCCTCGGGGGCTGCTCCAGCCGCACGTCCCAGCAGCAGCAGCCGCCCTCGCAGCCTGCCAGCAGGTAGGCATCCGGGCAGGAAGCCACAGGGCAGAGGCGCAGGGGGATGGACGTGGTATCCAGGGTGAGCAGCTGGCTGCCGGCGGGGGAGGAGTGCGTGAGGCCACCGACCCGGCCGCCCGGCTGCTCTAGCGAGCCCCCCGCCCCACGGCCTCACCTGGCCTGGAAGTCGTAATCGTGGTTGGGCACCCCGAGGTCCCAGAGGATGATCCGCTTGTCATAGGAGGCCGCTGAGGAGGGGCCGGGAAGGGAAGAGGTGGCTCTGAAGAGGCCCTACGTGCCCCAGCAGGCTCCATCCCAGGCTGAGACCGCGGTCGCAAGGCCTGGCCCCTGGGAGGCGGGCAGGGCCACCAGTCTCCACCTCCCTCTGCGCTACCACGCCCCGCGCCAGGCGGCCCTCCTTTCGCAGGCCTCTGCTCACACATCCCTTCTCGGGCTTACCGCACTTCCGCGGCGGGGGGGGGGGCGGACAGGGGTACCCAACCGGGTCACAGAGCGGCCCAGCTGCCCAGCTTCAAAGCCACAGAGCGGGTCGGGGGAAAAGGCACGATCTGAAGCCCTGTCAGTCGTTCACAAAGCCACGCTGCTTCTACCCCGGCCAGAGCGGACCCCGGCGGCCCGGACTGCAGGACAGGGGTGTGGGAGAGGCTCTTACTGAACAGGTGGGTCTCGTGCGTGGGGCTGAAGCAGAGGGTGGCGATGGCCTTCTTGTGGGCCCGGATGACCCCGCAGCAGAAGCCAGCTCGCACGTGCAGCAGGCGGACCAGGCCCCGTAGGCCCGCAGCCGCCAGCACGCTCCAGCGCTTCTTGTGGCCGGCCTGTGTCACCACGGTCAGGGCCGTCCAGGCCACTGAGAAGAACTCCTGTGGGCGCAGGGGTACGGGCGTCACTAAGGGGCAGAGCCAGGCGTGGGTGCGGGCATCACTAAGGGGCAGGGCTACACGTGCGCACGCCCTGAAGCTCAAGCTGGTGGAAGCGAGGCCCAGCAGGACCGGGTCAGCCCCTCCCCCGCCCCCCGCCAGCGCCGCAGGAGCAGGCCCCGGGCCCTCACCTCGCCAGGTGCCTTGTACTTGTGCAGCACGATGCCCGTCTGGCAGTCTATCACGCACACGGCCTCCCCACCACACGTGGCCACTGTCTGGGAGGTGGCCCCCGGGCGCCCTGTTTGGAGGGGTCGGCCTCAGTAAACACGTTCTCCATGAAGTCCGCCCCTGCAGCGCCTCTGACCTGGCCCTGATGACGCTTCAGAGGCTGTCTCTCCCAGGCCCCCCATCCGCGGAGGCGGCCCCCTCCAGGTAGCATTCCCTGGGGCTCTCGCCGTGGCCCTGCCTGCCCCGCCAAGGCTGTACCCTCCTCCCAGGCCGGCTCAAAAGCGCAGGCCCAGAGCTGGGTGTCCAGGTCCCGAGGGCTGTTGTTCTTGCTGTGACACTGCAGGAAATGCAGGGGCTCCAGATCCGGGGCGGGCTGTGGGGGCAGACGGGGGGTCACAGCTGCCCCAGCCCGTGCTCCCTGCCAGCTAACCCCTGCCCCCTTGCGAGGTTACCTGGCCGCCATCAGAGTCCTGGGGGCTGCCCTCCACTTGGGCCAACGCGGAGGTGCACACCCGCTTGTTGGGAGACAGGTTGAGTGAGATGTCATCTGGCCGTTTCCTGGCCACGGGCCTGGCCTGTGGAGGGGGTCAGGGCTGGGCTGAGAGCCCGGGGTTGCTTCCTCGGCATCACAGGCTGGCCCGCACCCTCCCATGGGGGCAGAAAGCAAGGGCTGGCCCAGGGTCAGTGTGAACCAGCTCAGGCATCAGGGGCTGTCTCCTGGGCTCATTTCCAGGACCCCCCGGCTCCCCCCCCCCCCCGCCAACCCCCTTTCTCTACAGTCTCCCGAGGCAGGAAGGGCCAAGACAGGCCTTTGGAGCCTTGCGAGCTGCGTGGTACCACACTTACCCTGGGTTCCTGGGCAGCTGTGGCTTTTGGGGGCCTCTCCGGGACGTCTGCCTCATGCACCTGGGGCCCACCAGAGGCCACCAGCTCCTCAGAGATCATCCGCACCTACGCGGGGCCGGGACATTGGGGAACTAGATACAAGTCCTGGGGCTCCCGGCCCCTCCCCCAAATGCCGGGGCAGAGAGAACCTGTGCTTCCTGAGGTGGGAAAGGGCCTTTCCAACCAGTAAGTCTGCCTTCCCTGACCCACCGAACTCCACCACCCCTCATGGCCAGAGGCCTCTTAGGGCAGCTGAAGGCATGGGAGCCATGGAGGAGCTGGGAGAACGGACTCCCAGCACAGCAGGATGAGGTCATACCCGCCACTGGGTGAACTCGCTGAGGGACTCAGGCCCATAGCGGACGTCCCTGACAGCAGACTTCACAAAATCTGCCTGGGCCTTCTCTGCCTCTTCCTCTGGGCTCACTGCAGCCTTGAACTTCTCCCAGTGAGCTGTGACCTGGAACAAGAGGGACCAGATTCAAGCCCAGGCCACCCCAGACCTCCTGGACCCTCTGTGGCGCCCCTGCCTCCAATCTTATGGCCACAGGAGTCTCCACTTCACCACCTCCAGAAAGCCTCCCTGAACCACAGCCTCAGAGGCAGTGTGCACAAACCTCAGTGCATGCACGTGCGCACACACACGCTCGCGCGTGCTCGAGCAACAGCCCGGAAGAGGAGCGGGCCCAGGGTAGTTACTGTGAAAGTGTCCTGGCCTCCCTGGCCGGGCCCAGCCTGCACACCCAGAGAGCATGACCTCTAAGGACAAGAGGCCAAGCACCACAGCCAGGCTCAGAGAAACACGTCAGGCTAGGGGATAAGTGCCGCTCAGCGTCAGGGCAGAGAGTCCCCAGAACCCCCACTCAGGGTCTTCCAAACGTCCATTCTGTCGCTCGCTCCTCAAGGCCCCCAAGTG